TTCAATTCCACTTTGTTTTCAAACATTGTATCACAGTATGATCCTGCAGTCAAGATGAAAGTAGAAGTCAAAGAACAGAACTTCAAGCAATAGAAGGCGATGGGTAAAAAGAATATGGAATGGAACAAAAAAAGATGAGTTTTTAAGAAGGGAAGAAATGAAATGAAATGAATGGAGTTCTACGTCCTACTTTTCTGCACCATGTGGGATATTGAAGACAGGCAACGCCATGCAGGGTGAAATGAGGGAAATTTTGACAGGACAGCGGCATTAGCCTGCTCTTTTTCGATTTCCAACTGTCGAGGGATCTTTAACGTGCAAAGCCTGTAGCACACAGGGCCTCGGTATATTGTCCCATCCGAACGACTAGACGTTTTTTTCATGTCAGCCCTTTTACCCGCATCACTGACAGGGGGAAACCAGGTTGAAAAATCCAAAGGTATTATCTCGACCTTTGCCGGGATTGAACCCTGGACCTTCAGGTTAGTGAGCAAGCGTCTAACTCACTGAGCCACCGCGGCTTCCTCCGGTACTTCTGAAGACTATATACATATATAATGTTCAAGAAAAGATGAGATTGTAAGAAGGGAAGGAAGAAAGTCTAAGAGAAAGTAATGAAATAGCAAGAATTAAGGGAGAAGGCAGTTAATTCAATCGATCTAGAGTCTTGAAGGGTTAATGGAAAGAAACAGATTGAAAAGGTTAAGGTAAGGTCTAAGGCGGAAATGTTGCTATATGTAGAATCATAGAAACACTGTTATGAATTTACTGTTTTTTCTTGATATTTGTGGTGGTTTCGTTCACATGCGGGGATCTTTGTCTGGCACGGGATGCTAGTAGTTGTGGACGAAGCAGCGAGTATATGTGTGTTGGAGGTTTGAGTCTGTGGCTCACTGGGATTGGTGGGCGGTTTGAGCATGTTGTATGAGGTATGTGTTGTCTGATTGATTGTATTGTGGTGCTTCGTTGTCCCCCAGTGTTTGGTGTGTTTTTGTCTTTTGTCCGTTGTTGTTGTTTGTTTGTTTGTCGCTGGCCTTGGAAAGTTATGGATGTGGGCCTGTCGTTCTGTTCGTTCTATCGTTGTTGTTTTGGACTTGAAATTCCTGCGAGTGGATTGGGGCGT